AAATTACATGGTAAATAGTAATTAATTGTTTTGAATTATTTTGTGTACTTTGTTTTTTGTTCTTTGATATTAAATAATCATTAAAATACGTGCGTACATGTATTATATGTTTACTTTCATTATACCGAGTCTTTAATATGTATACGGAAAACGGTTGTAGTATTAAGAAATACATACGTATGTGTATAATACGAGTATTCAATGGGAAAAATGCTACATTCTTTATACGGGTATAAACTCTTGAAACGTAAAAAATCAACACGGGACAATAGCTATACCTTGGTAATGGCCTAAACGTAATCGATAATGCTCTAGACTAGTCTTATTGACAAAGGAAAAGCATGGAGAAAAAATTTTGAAAACAAAAAGGCACCCATTAGATATTTAAAGAGCATAGCCGCGCGGCTATAGTCTCTAAATACCATAATCTGAATTTCTCTTTTTTAATTATTGTTTACTCAGTGAATAATTACTATTTAAGAATTTTATTAAATTCAAATTCTTTATAAACTAAATACTATTTATTAAGTGATATCATTTACGATGCAACTTAAAACATTTAATACTAATTATTCACTACTAATGTGCCCAAGTGATTAAAACTACTAATGTGCCCAAGTGATTAAAGATATCATTTAATTACCAAAAAGAAATTATTGACCTAAACACACTAAGAGCATCCATAATGATGCTCTATTTCTTAGCTAAAATTTGGCTAAGAATATAAGAAAGCTATTTTAGGAACTCTCTAAAAAATTTCAATTCCAACCATACTCCCTAATTTGGAGAGTGATAAATGCTATAACTCTTTTTTGATTGGTCCATCTCTATTAAAAAATAAAATAAAAAATAGTTAGCATTAAATAAAGGTTTGAAATACTCATTAAATAAAACAGTATTAAATTATAGGGAGCCACTAGGAGTCCTTTCTCTCTCCTCAGATTTAGGAGCTCCTAGAGGACCCCATATTTTAGGAGGTGAATAGGGAGCGTGATTGGAGTTACATTTTTACTATTCATCCTTAAAATTTGTCTAAGGAGGTGGTTTAGGGAGCCCATTGTGGATGCTCTAAGATTATATTCACTTTCTTAAAAAAAATACCTCCCCCCCCCAAATTTCGTCGGCACAAGTCTATCCCGACAAAATTTGCCGGATTACATTTCCCCCGACGAAATTTCATCGGCAAAATTCTATGCCGACAAAATTTGCCGGATTAGGTTTTCCCCGAAGAAATTTCGTAAGCAGAGGTAATTTCGTCGGGAGAGGTTGTTCTGCCTTTTATCTTTATTTTTTTAAAGTTTAAAATATAAAATTAGTTTCCTTACTTTTGTTTTTTGGCCAACTTCTTTAATTTAATACATGTAATTACGTAATACCTTAGCCTTTTTTTAATTATTTGAATTAGTTTTTAATTATTATTTCTTTAGTGAACATTTAAATATTTTACTGATTTCGTAAATTACTTGGTAAATAGTAATTAATTGTTTTGAATTATTTTGTGTACTTTGTTTCTTGTTCTTTGATATTAAATAATCATTAAAATACGTGCGTACGTGTATTATACGTTTACTTTCATTATACCGAGTCTTTAAGACGTATACGGAAAACGGTTGTAGTATTTAGAAATACATACGTACGTGTATGATACGAGTATTCAATGGGAAAAATGCTGCATTCTTTATACGGGTATAAACTCTTGAAAAGTAAAAAATCAACACGGGACAATAGCTATACCTTGGTAATGGCCTAAACGTAATCGATAATGCTCTAGACTAGTCTTATTGACAAAGGAAAATCATGGAGAAAAAATTGTAAAAACAAAAAGGCACCCGTTAGTATAGCCACGCGGCTATACTCTATAAATACCATAATCTGAATTTCTCTTTTTTAATTATTGTTTACTCAGTGAATAATTACTATTTAAGAATTGTATTAAATTCAAATTCTTTATAACTAAATATTATTTATTAAGTGATATCATTTACGATGCTACTTAAAATATTTATTACTAATTATTCACTACTAATGTGCCCTAGTGCCTAAGGCCCAAGCCTATCTTTTTGACAATTAGATATTTTGTATATAATATTTAATGCCCAAATTGATTTTGAAGCCCAATTGGCTTCCACTTGGCCCAACTTCCATTTATTAAGTGTGGGACTTCCACACTTACAAAAATCTCACTCTTTCTTCTTTCTACCAATGTGGGACAAATGTCCTTGAATTTCATTTAAACTTCCAACATATTTAAAGACCTTCAAGATCTATGTGATTCATCGTAAATGTCCTTCAAGGTCTTGCATCTATCGACCATAATATTTTTTGACTTCTTATAGTTGATGTTTACTATTCTTTGAAGAAAAAAGACATACCTTCACCCCTCATAAGAGCTTCTCATGCTAAGTCCACATAAGAGATCATACGGTTTTCCATTGAATTTGCTAAGTCCCTTTACTTTAAGCATTATTAATTAATGTGGTATCTATTGACGATTATTAATTACGTTGACATCGCGACTAACCGAGCAACTAACTAAGCAAGATCAGCCACGTGCCATGCTTTGGGAGGTCATCACCTTAGTCAAAGAAGCCGTACCACAAGTCACAACTCTAAACAAGGCAAGGAGTCCCACATTGGAAGACTACAAGAGGTGGAGACTCCCCTTCACCTATAAAATAAGACTACTCTCCAATTAGAAAAGGGTCCTGAGTCTTGAATCTTGACCCTTGGGCTTGGATCTTGGATCTTGGACGTTAGGCCTTGGGCTTTCTTCCCTTTATCTTTGGGTCTACCCTTTGTACAAATGTAAACAAACATTATCATAATGAGAACATTCTTCTTCGTGGACGTAGCTCATCATTCGGGTGAACCACGTATACCTTGTCTTTTGCATGCTTATTTATTTTACTTATGCTGAATGTCACCTGCTGAAGACAGTCTTTTGTCTTGCCTACCGAAGGCTCATACACATGCTAAAGGCCCACGCCTTCACACATTATCCACCACTTCACATCTACCTAAGTTGAACCCCATTTTGAGCGTCAACAAATTAAGATCCCTGGTCACTTGTATTTCAAGACCTGTGGCTTTAACTAAATATTGATAGATACCAATATGTTCAAAGTTCAATGTTCAAGCCACAAGCCTAGCTATATGATTGGAATATAATTTAGTTTTGTGCTCGGGGAGCACAAGAGAAGACAGATGACTCGCATCATTCATAAGGTTCATGATTGTTTGTAGAATCCCGTTTTGAAACTTTCCTATTGAGTTCATGGCTTACGAATGTTTTGTTTTATTTTGCTGTATCTGCGGATGAGGTGCAAACAGACGCGACAGGCACAAGTACTTCAACAAGTAAACATAGAGCAATTATGTCACTTGAAAATTTGGACAGTAGAGTCCTGAAAATTAGGACAGTAGAGTCCCACATGCAAATACTTATAAATACTTATATCAGATCTTGTAGTTACAGAGTCTGATAACGTGGGCTTGTTACCAAGTAGGGTATTAAAATGATTGCGATATGATAGAGACTAAGCTAAGTTGGACAACCCACCTACTATGAGTGGGTAGCAATTAATAATTAATCTCAGTTTATTGTAGCAAAAAAAAAAAAAAAAAAAAAAAAAAAAAAAAAAAAAAAAAAAAAAAAAAAAAAAAAAAAAAAAAAAAAAAAAAAAAAAAAAATAAAAAAAAAAAAAAAAAAAAAAAAAAAAAAAAAAAAATCCAGAAAGGAAAAAAAAGAAACACGTCCTCAGTCCAGGCAATGGCTCAACTCCTCATCTCCAAATCACTTTTTTGTTTTTGTTTTGTTTTTTTTTTTAAAATAAAAAAAATGAGCCAACTCAAAATCAAAAATAGCTTTTCTTTCTCTCACAAACCACACACCTCTTGAACCAAAGCTTTAGATGCCCAATCAGCAAGGTCTACAGCAAATTGATTTGTCAACAATAGTAGATGATGCTAGTAAAGCCCTATTTGCTCACCAACCACGCTATTCTTGTGCCTTTAAAACATATGGAATTTCATCCTTTGGATAAGACCTAATTGATATTCAAGTACCTAGTTAGTTTCAACGCTTATTGTATAAGAAAATCATTTTTGGGGACAATCATCTATTTACTGTTCGAAATTTGACAAATTGATTTATCAACTGAGAACTTAGCAACAGAGTTTTGGCGGCTTTAAATTGCCGTAATGCTAGAATCCCATATCGAAAATACACTAAATGGTACAAATACTTAAAAAGAATTTACATCAAGCAACAATATTACCGTGCCTTGTAGTGTGTACTTGTAACTAAACAATGTATTAAAGTGATTGAACATATGATAGGGATTGAACCACACATCCACCATGGATGAGCAGCATATTTCTCTAATTAAGAATTTGGTTAAACCCTTGATGTAACTTCCACTTTTATGCTGAAGTAGCAATCAAGTCATCACATGCAAAAATTATTGAGCAATTATTTTTTTCATTAGAAAAATTAGTAGTTTGATTTGTTGACCAGCAGTTCCTCGATCCATTAGTAACTTTTAACCTTAAATACAAGTAAATTTCAGTAATTTTTGGTTGGTGAAAATAGAAAGTAAAAAAAAAAAGTAGAAAAAGGAGTTGATTATTCGCCATTACTGGAAGAATAAGGTGTAAACTTGTGGTGGATTAAAAGAAAAAACTGACATGAAGAAAACGATCGCGATGGGACTCGAACCCACAATCTCCCGCTCCGGAGGCGAGCGCCTTATCCATTAGGCCACGCGATCTGTTGATGCTAGTTTTACAGATATATTAAATATATACTATTATTATTTTCTCTCGTATTCACATTTAGTTGCTTGTTCCAATCTTTTAAGGCTTCAATAAGAAGAGGCATGTTCATCTCTCAGCATGATTCTACAGTTGGAGTCAAGAATTGACATGCCGTAGAACATAACTTCAAGATTCACAAAAATGGTGGCGCCGTTCACACGGAATTTTTAATTCTGGCAATAAAGTTTTGTGAGTATCTGCATAGTATAGTTCATACAAATGTGTGGAAATAAAAATGTCATGTCTGGTATGTCACAAATGGCATTGTCATTGTGAAAAGAAAATTTTGAATGCTTCACTAGCTATGTAAAACTCTGTACACAATTACAAAGGATGGTGATGCCATTTTTATTAAATAACTCCTGTGATTTTTCAAGAGGAAGAAGTATTCTTCATCTTGTACCGGTAACAAACACGCTTCTTCTTGATCAACGATCCATTCTCAACTGTGAACACAACGTTTCCAGGTTCTTTGTTCGTAAAAGAGTTTCGGAGAGAACCCTGTTGCCCACCAATCCTCCTGTCCTTTTGAACAATAATGCCATATGATCCTTCATTAGTTGGAAAAAATTCTTCCTTGTAGTTCACTTCCCAACCCAACACAATCACTTCCCAGATTAAAGTTGTTCCTACCTGTTTAACATACAACATTAACACAGTGATATAGTCGTCATTCTAATGAATCCACAAGATTCAATTAAAAAGATCAAAAGAATATGAAGTGAAATATAATAACCCTTTCGAGTGCACATACCTCTGGTACTGGGAGTTGAACACTTTCTGATGATGACTGATTGACAACAATCTCTGAGGCAGCATCTTCAGTAGAGAATTCAGGATCATTTTCCCTCTTAAGCCCGCCATAATGGACTGGTAGATCCTCTGCAGCTATGAACCTGCAATGAAGAGGGTTCAAGTTTGGTTAAGAACTTTCCAGTTGACCAATTAGCCACCAATTACTGACATTGAAGGAACATTACTTGAGCAAATTGTCCGTGACCCTGGAAGGGCTAGCGAAGACAAATTTGCTATTGGTTCTTGGAGTTAAGAAAGGTAATAGGAGAGTGCTAGCACTGTAGGCATAGTACCAGAAAGGAACATTGATGAAGATCTACACAGGAAAATAAAGTTTTCCATCAATTGCAGTACAAGTCATGGCATGAAAAGTTTGAAGATGCATGGAATTTAATGTGGAACCTCAAAGTGTCACGAATAAAAAGGTTATATATGGATGGAAAAACTCTTACATTTCTTGCAACAAATTCAGGATAGTTGTCCTGAAGTAGCCCGACGACCTGCTTTGTAGCAAGCCGAAGCTCCTTCTTAGAGGGGCCAGGCATGTCCTTGAGATCATTGACTAAGAGTATGGAGGACACCCCACCAGGCTTAAAGTCAAGCTTCTGAATCGCTTTCTCCATTAGTTGAACCCTCCTCCTTATAAACATTTCACGGCTCTCTTCATTCCCTAGCATCTTGTTGTATACCTCTTCATTCCCAAGCAGCTTAAAGTTGCTGTAACAAACCGGATGCCCTTCACGACTGGCACCATCCATATGCTCTATGGAACCAAGATCATCACCGAAGTCCTCATCCAAGATCGAATTGACATTGTTGTCCTTCCTCCACTGGAGTGTATTCCTCAACATGTCGAAAGCATCGTTGACTTCGAAATCCCTGGCCGTCAAGAACTTCAATAGTATGACATCAGTGGCACTATCCCCTTTACTAGGCAATAAGGGTACCCCCCAAATTGCAATATCCTCATCTATGACGTCAACCTTTCGTTCCTGATTAGTAGCCACATTGTTCTTCTCTTTTTGGCCTTCTTCAGCCTTTTTATCCTTTTCCTCATCTTCTTGTTTGGAAGGTTTATTCTCTTTACCATCTTCTTCTTTCTTTTCTTTCACTACCAACTTTTCTTCTACCAATGCTTTTGCAACTTCAATCTCTTCTACTTTCTTTGAGCTTTCCTTCTCTTTCTCAATTTCTTTCACAGAATTTTCTTCTCCCTTCGCTTCATTTGTTTTCTCCTTCTCTCCACCTTCCTTCTCTAATGTCTTTTCTTTTTCTTCGATTTCTTCTACCTTCTTGGAAGTTTCTTTCTCTTTCTCAGCTTCTTTCACACCGTTTTCTTCTCCTTTCCTCCCATTTTCTGTTATTTTCTCATTATCTCCACCTTCCTTCTCCAATATCTTTTCCTTCTTATCCCCTACTACTCGATCCTTGTTTCCCTTAAACAACTTGTTCCCGAGTATTGCGTTTTCAACCTTCGATCTCAGCTCCACCAAAGCCCTTTTCTCATGCTCTTTCAAGTCAGAGAGGAAGTTGCTTTTTTCCCTGAATGATAAATTTTTCTCAATTATAGTAGATTCTGAAGAAGCATCCCCTCTTTCAACCTGATCATTGTTCTTCTTCTCTTCCAAAACCGCCTCCTCCGCTTCACCTTCTTTTCTCTTATCCTCCGCCATAACATCCCTTGTGTCAGCATCAGTCTCCTTCTCCTCCACCAACATCTTTCCAATTACACCCTCATCTTTTTTAGGTTCACCAGCTTCCCCTGCATTTTTCCCATCCTTTGTTTCAATACCCTTGTCTTGGACATCCTTGGATGGATTTTTCTCTTGTTCATCAGAATGAGGAACTACTTTTTCCATGGCTGAACTTTTCTCAACTTTAGCTGATTCGGAGATACCGCCTTTTTCAACCTCGTTATTCTTGTTCTCTATTTCAGCTTCTTTTTTCTTATCCTCCACCACAATCACCTTTGTTTCACCTTCATTCTTCTTCTTCTCCTCCTCCAAAATTACCTCTTCAAACACAGCCTCATTTTTTTTAGGTTCACCAATTTCTGCTGCATTTTTCACCTCCTTTGCTTCACTACCTTTGTCTTGGATATCCTTAGATGGTTTCTTCTCTTCTTCCTCAGAATGGGTGACTTTATTCTCCTTCTGGGGAGCTTCTGACTTCTCTCCTGTTGCCATGGTTGAAGTTAACCATATAGAATTTAGAGCTTTCGGTTTGAGATTTTCATGTGGAATTCAAAAGATGAAAATAAAATATAATCGAGAAAGCATTAATCTAGAGAAGATGAACCAAGACCTTACACTCTTACCCTGTTTTTCTCCCCTGTTTTCTCTGCCTCTATATTTGGTGGTAAGTGAAGCGGTTCCAAACGAGGGTTTGAAATTTCTTGGAGCAAAAGTAACGTTGTTAGATTAACCTTAGACAAACATGTCAAATTATCTAGTGAGAGAGCAATATTTGAGGCGGAGCCAAAGCCAAGCTTGAAAAAAAGAAGAAGATATCATACAGAAAATTTCATAATCAAAGTTAGTGTTGCCCCTTCCTCCTAATTTAAGATCATAAATCCATTTATAATTACGTTCTACATTTTGGCTTCCAAATCCAAAAATTCTAACTCTGCCTATTCGTGTACTGACGTGTTATAGTTAGTAAAAAAAAATTCATTTGTTTGGTTTGGATTTTTTTACTGAGGAACAGTTGTGGTTTATTACAATTATAGATGACGTATTGTAAGATAACAAATTCTTCTAGGAAAACAAAGGGGGAAAAGCGTCTACTTCTATAAAGATTCACAAAATATATGATATTAATTAATCAATGAATCTAAAAACGAAAATAAATTGACAAGTTTGTCGTATCAAATATCGGTCATCACTCGTGCTCGCTCATTATTCATTAAGGTATATATATATATATATGCTTTCTAAGTAATGCTAGAGAGACCATATATTTTTAGACCACAAGAACCAACCAGCCATGTGATATGTAAGGGTTGATGTCTTGATTAAATTTTGGTCATAATTTACAAATCAATTGCTAACAATATGTAATAGGCTAATAAGGTCTAAAAATGTGATTTTTCATATGTTTCCTTGCATGCGTAAATAACTTAAACAAGTCAAAGATATAGGAAAGAAAAAAAAAGTAAAATCTAGGAGTTTAATTAAGAGGGGGCATGCAGACTTGCAGCCACACCAAGCTGGTCTTATGTATAGCGGTTTTTAGTTACAGTTATAGATAAGCTAAAAACCCTAGAGATTTTCCCGCGGGTTGTTATTTGGTAACCGTTCCAAACCTCAACTCCCCCATTTTTCTCAACCCACAAACCCTCTCTCTCTCTTTCTCTCCCGCAAGCCATGCAGTCAGGATTAGGTCGGTTATTGTAAGTTTTGCAGTTAATTAATTATTGTTAATCAATTTAATTTCAGGTCTTATTTAGGTCTGCTTCTGTCTTCTCTTGCACAGCATCTTATCAGGTACTCTCTCTCTCTCTCTCTCACACACACACACACACTTCTAGCTAGTTTACTTTTCATCTTTTCAAAAATCTAGCCTACTTTGCCGTAGCTTGTACATGAACTTTAACACATCTTTTTTTGCATGCAATGCATGTCTATTTTATTTTGTGCTAGCTACTGTTCATTATCTATAATCTTTGTTTTCTTACAATTTCTATTATTTTCAGGTTTTAATTGAGCACACACATTCCATGGCCTTGAGTTCATTTTCTAGCAGGGAAACGGTTCCACCTCAGTCTTTTGGCTCAGAGATGACCAACTGTTTCCAGCCAAATATAGAAGCAGAGCTATTAGCAGCAGAAGAGCTCCTCAAATATTACCAACTAGACTACAATTGTTCCATCCTTCCCAACAACTTATTTCTTGATGATCATCCATGCCATGACCCCTACAATCTTCTCAACCTCGAAAACTATCATCCTGACACTACCAGTGACGATCATCTTCTTCTTCCACATCTCACTACCCCTGACATGTTTCCACAACTTGATTTCTATCCTTACCCGTACCCGAAACGCCAAAAATGCTTCCAAGATTTCGTTTACCCGGAGTTCACACCCGCAACTTTCTATGATGCGTTTGCTCCAGATTCTTGTCCCTTGCCCGAGTTGCTTCCGGCACCTGGGGTCTTTGCTACTTCATTGCTCACATTTAATCAGCATCCGGAGGAGACAGTCACTGATAGCAACAAGTCAAAATTTAATGACTATGAGATTGGTTTTACTGCTAAGAAGAAAGTGGAAGAAAAATGCGTGTCTGCGCAGAGTATTGCGGCTAGAGAAAGGAGGAGGAAGATCACAGAGAAGACTCAAGAGCTAGGGAAGCTTGTTCCTGGAGGAAGCAAGATGAACACAGCTGAGATGCTCACTGCTGCCTACAACTTTGTCAAGTACTTGCGGGCTCAAGTTGGCATTCTTGAATTCATGGGGTCATTTCAGGTATTTTGATCAGTTTCCCTCTAAATTTTACTTCCACCATTAAAAAAATAAAAAAGATTTGATGGTTTTTTCTATCTAATTCTCTTTGTTTTTACTTTTTCTCATTCTATTTTTGTAGGGTTTTTATGCCAATTCTCTTTTGTTATACACGCAGGAATTGAAGGGAGCTCCTCCTGCTGA